TAAAAACCATTGTTCAAATTTTGGTTAATTTGCTTTTCATCCAAATTACAAACAAGAAATAATTACCGTTAATCGAAAGACTTGCCTAGTCAAGGGAGGGGGTGGATGTGAACATTTCAATTGATTTTGTAAAAGTAATTATTTCCACACATAATATAATAAGATTTTGTATCCCTTAAGAAAGCATTTGCGTATATATGCATGTGCACTATTACAAGAGGGGGGGGGCACAGCCTTTGAATGTGGAGGGGGTTAGGGGGGGGACAACATTTTCCCATGCCTCCTATAGAACAGATGGGCATGATTAGGAATTATTACGCTTACATTATCATTTCGATAATTGTACATTTACATTGACACGGTAGATTTGGTTTATGAAGTATAAACGTTATGAGCACAAACAATGGTAGTACGATTACAATTTCATTCATGAGACAAAACATCTTGAATGTTGCATTTAAAGTAATGACATCAATTACAAGGCTCACAAGCATGACAACATTGTATTTTTATACTGTGATTGCATAAGCTTTTGGAGAAGAAAACTATTGGTCACCCGAAGAAAGAAAAATATATGGTAGGATGAAGAAAAAAAGGTTGAAATGACGACCAGGGATATGAATCAATAAATGTTGTTATTTTTCGTTCACTTATTACTCCACCTTAGGAAAACGAAACAAAGATGTAGACTATTTCAAAAAGCGTATTAAAGTAAAATTGATAAGAAATCTGCAAAACACTTTCAAGAGGAGGGCTGGCAAATTGTACAATTGCTCTAAGTGAACCAAAACAATTTAAAATGCATCAATTATTCATTGTGTTCAAAGACATATATAACATATAGATTTATAATGAATTGGTATAATTATTATTATTATTAATGATCATTATGATTGTTGCAGAGGCCCACTCATCAAGCAAGCGTGAGAGGGCAGCATGCAAGTATTGCATTCATGTAGAATCGACTCTCTCGTGGAGGGTGAAATGACTAAATCGGTTGGCTCATCCACAGCTGGAAGAGAACAAAATCTGTTAAGGATGATGATGATGATGATTGCCAGCAAGGAATAGAATGAAAGCTAAGTTAGATGCACGTGCTATTTGATATCAATGGTTTAATTAGAGTTGGGATAATTTCCACGAATCTTAGGATCCAGAATGTGGATATTTCTATGGTTATCAAAGTAAAAATAACTGTTTCTTCTCGATGTTTTTTCGTTTGAGTGTGACTTGATAAAAAGCGGCCTTTCTTTATTTTATCCAAGCTTTGTAGATTGAGACGCGCACTCGTAATAAATCAATGGTCAACATGTTGATCACATTATGCTTGTCATAATATCCACTGTAAGTCTTCCAGGATTAGTGGCACCATCTTCTTCTTATTTAACAGAACGGTACACGTGTATCAGGCCTGTTTTTATCAGCTCGACTTTGCCAAATATCCCGCTATTTTCAGACTCGGAATATTATCCCGAAGCTCAAGATTGCGTCCACACCAGACGGAAACACTAATCACAAACTAGCTCGGACGGGCACAAATCAGCCCACTATTTCCCAAGTAGCAAATAGTTAGGAAACAAGACCAAGGTTTGTCGGGATATTTTCTCGACCGAATTACCCGCTAATTGCAACTGCGGGCTGATAAAGACGCAAATTAGCTGGATAATTTGCGATTGGGTTAGTTAAAATAGCGGGTAATTTGGCAAACTCGGGTTGATGATGACAGGTCTAGAGGGGGGTAAGAGGAGGGCAATAGTCTTACCAGGATTTGTTATGATAAATCCTTTGATTAGTCGGATTCGTTAAATGCAGGCTTGTGGCAATTAATTAAAAATCAATATATTATTGCGTTAACCTCTCCCTACCTTTTTATCTTACAATCTATATACATAGCTGTCTTTCTCTTTCTCTCTCTCTCTCTCTCTCTCTCTCTCTTTCTTACTTTCTCTCTCTCTCTCTCTCTCTCTCTCTTTCTCTCTCTCTCTCTCTCTTTCTCTCTCTCTCTCTCTCTTTCTTAATTTCTCTCTCTCTCTCTCTCTCTTTCTTTCTGTCTCTCTTAAATGTTCCTCTCTATCTCTTCACTCCCTCCCTCCCCACTTTCCCTCTATATTTGTTCATATCATCTATCTCCATTTTCCTTCTCCCTTCTCTCCCCCATCTCTCTCTCTCTCTCTCTCTCTCTCTCCATCTCTCTCTCTCTTTCTAACCACCCACCCCCCACACACTTTCGATCTTTCCCTTTATAAATGCAAATGTTCTCCTAGCGCCTATGAAGCTACACAGCAGTGTCCTATTAATAGAGAAAATGATGATATTTTTGTCAAGACAAAGGCTATACTCGCTCGGCATGGACAATTCAAGATTCCTTTATCTAGAGAATACAGATTCATGCATGTTCAAACACTTTTTTTCTAAATTTCAAAATGTAAAATAGTACTTAAAAGCTGACCACGCTTTCTTTGAGATATTGCTTTTATCATTTGACTTTCATGAAAACAAGTGGGTTGACTTTAGTGAGACAATAACGTCAACAACAAAATCCGTTGATATATTAGATTTCATTCTTTGAAGCATCATTTAATAGTCGTTGAAACGAAGGGCCTATTAACATTTTGAAGCTTCCCAACAATATCTAAATCATGTCAACCGTCATGCTTTGTAGCCAATATTGTTTGTTATCGAATGTTCCCTTTTTAATAAATACAATAAATACAACAAGTCTATTTGGAAGTGGTGTATCAATTTTAGAGGACCTGTTATAGCGAGAAAATACTTCCTGGGGGTGTTTCACAAAGACTAAGATCGACTTTAAGTTGGACTTAACTATGACAGGCCGTTCATGCCACTAGTTCCTCTAACCATTCCTGGTATTGGTTTCTCAAGGGACATAGAAATCATGGTCAAAAATTCGTTATTGAAGGAAAAAATATTATCTAAAGATCAGAATTGAGAGACCAATGGTGAGAGCAACCAGTGGCATGAATGGCCGACCATAGTTAAATCCAACTTAAAGTCGATCTTAGTCTTTGTGAAACACTCCCCTGGATTGTATCGGGATTCCTTGACTTCAAATTCCGACAGTTAATGCCAGAAGCGAATGTGGTAATGTTGGCTTAAACCACGAATAAAATGAACAGTTAAAGGCGTATTCCAGAATTAATAATGAATTAGCGGTGATCAACACCATTCATCTATGAATACATAATCAGACTCTCTTTTTTTTGTTATCGAAATAGCAACCATGATTTTTTTTTTTGATGTTGGCACAAATATCAGACGGCCTCATTGCGGTCATTCCAGTTTCCGTGACGATATATTCAAAAGAGGCGATATTAAAATGGAAAGAAGAGAAACGACATGACGTGACTAGGCGGCAGAGAAATGAGGCTTTTGAGAAAACGTGTATTGAATTTATTTGTCAGGTTTGTGAAGCACGATTGTTGGAATATAGAACGGCATGTTTGGCTTTGTCTTGGCGGCAATAAATGATTATTGTGTAAGATGATGAATAACCCTGCCCCTACTAAATTTTATAAAACGATTGGCGGAGAGATAACCATGTGTCTTCAAAGCGCTTAGAGACATCATAGATGTATTAAGCGCTATATAAAGTGGAATTATTATTATTGTTATTATTGTGCTGCTTACAAGCCAAATCCACAAGGGTGGAGGTCTAGACGTTTCTGCGCGTTAAGTGTGAGACTATATTCACTTTATTCACCTACTGAAATGTGGGAACATGGCAATGAGGTATTTATACGCAATCTGAACATGATTTCTATGAGAGGTAAAATAGGGTATTGAACTTGCGCTTAAGTTGAATTTTCGAAAATAGTTGCATCCGTGTTGGAATTATATTAGTGAGAACAAAGGGAATGTTTATCGTGTTACATAAGATAATTGTGTAGGTCTGTATTCCCCTTGTAAATATGAATATATACTTATAACTGTCTAAACATTATTGTTAGAAGTATTGTTCTAGAGCGGGAGGTCGTGGGTTCGAACCTTGTTTGGCGTTCAACAATAAAGGGATATAGCAACGTCGATCTGGCGCTGCTCAGAGGCTGCCAGGCTCACGATCAATTGGGCAAAAAGAATTTCCATTTTCGGTTTAACTTAATAAAATTTGGAGTGGAATTTAAAAGATTATTATCATTATTATTATTATTATTTCTTTGGTATTTCGTTACTTTTTGTCTACATGTTTTTCAGCTCAAATTTAATTTGGGGTCTTAATCTTCCAAAATATATTCGGTGGGAAATAAATGATATCTGGTTGTATTCTAAGCGTAGTCGTTTTTAAATTCGATCACAAAATAACTCTCGACCTTGCCATCGGAGCAGAGAAGAATTATAGGAGTGTAAACGGGATGAACAAAAAGATTCATCGCGTACTTTCCCAGCCTTGTGTGCGAACATTTAATGCACTCGAGATGCAACCGGTTGCATCCTCTCTCTCTCGATGGACGGATGCTGCGTGATGGTTTGGGTATCACACACCATTTTCGCATTGTCCTACCAAACGCGAGGCACTTGTTGTTTTCCTTGAAGATAATCACTTTACAGGTCTCGAGATTTTAACACCATCAATGAATCCCTATGTTTATTATTCAAAAGGATGTGTAAAGCTTCGTACGTGCATACAACTTTGCCGACTTGTTTTATCCATGCTTTTCTACTTTTTGCTCTCTTTACGCGCGCCAGCATTAGGGATAGGTGATTACGCGGCTCAGGTCGACGACGGGGGGTTAATGAACAAAGATTCTTTGATTAGGAGAGGGGGTGAGCAGGTGTGCGTTAAACGTTGATCTCGTTTGCACTCATTAATGAAAAGTCTACACATGTGCGTCATTAATGACAACACAACTGGTAACCATGGGTATCCGAATAGAGTAATCAGCTTGGATTCCAATAACGTCATTCTTTGGTGTTTCTTAACCCGTCGCACCTAACTTTTGAAATATATTTGTGTTCACTTGTTTACTGACGGAACGCCCAAGATGGAGGTGGTCGAGTTAGAAGAGAGCGTGGTCGATATGGACGTAATCGACGACATCGATCTCATGGGGTGTGGCCATTACTTCTATTCTGATTACTCGAGCTCGATTCTATACTCAGACTGTACGGTCCTTATTCAGAATCTTTTAGGGAATCAGACTGTCCACACCCGAGGTCCAGGGTACATGATAGTCCCGGTCGTCTTCGGGATCATCACCGTGGTCGGCCTGATAGGAAACCTGTGCGTTATCTTGATCATAGCAAGGAATAAGGCCATGAGAAGCGTCACCAACTTCTTCATCATGAACAATGCCGTCAGCGATATGATGTTCCTGCTCGTCTGTGCTCCGATCACCGCCTCGACCTTCGCCTTGCCGACCTGGATCTATGGCGATTTCATGTGCAAGGCTGTAGTCTACATGCAGTACGTAAGTACTATACCCTTATCTCATATCCATTCAGGCATCCCTCATGCAATCATTATTAGTAATATTAGTAGTAGCAGTAGAAGTAGCCACGGAAGAAGAAGAAGAAGTAGCAGCAGCAGCAGTAAGGAAGAATAAGTAGTAGTAGCAGTAGAATAAGTAGTAGTAGAAGTAGTAGTAGTAGTAGTAGTAGTAGTAGTATTAGTAGTAGTAGTAGTAGTAGTAGTAGTAGTAGTAGTAGTAGTAGTAGTAGTAGTAGCAGTAGTGGCAGTAATACAATTCAGTAATAATACTACATGCCCTTATTGGATAACTCGGTTATGGTTTTTAAAACAAAATATATAGCAGAGGTTTAAGCTACCACATGGGCCTTTTACTCTCACTTTCACTTGACTCGGAATGACAATGAGAAAATAGCTATCGAGCATTATGAACACACTGGTCAAGGAGAGAGAGAGACGTATTTGAAGGATAATGGATTTCCCTCGTTTTGGGGAAAAGTTCCGCATGGGTGAACACACTTAGAAATTGTATCAGAGGCACCTGTACGATCAGACTGCAATTGATTAATAAAATCATGCAAAAATACCATTTACATGTACAGCTGAATGCAAAGAAAAGACACGTGTAGTTTTCAGAAATCAAAGTTATGTAAGGATTCTAGTGGACATTTTTAAACATCATTGTATGAATTGCTGGGCATTATTATCTTTCGGTGTGACTTTGCAACACGTACTTATGAGAGGTATCTGAACAGCATGCTTAAAGAGAAGGTTGAGTTCAAGGGAGAGGTGAACAATAATTTGTGAGCGTTATCATTGTTATTATGCAAGTGCGGAAGAACTTCAGAGAAAAAAAATGTTACCTGAAAAGCATAGCTTTTTAAATGCCTTCATATTCTAAATATGACAAGTAACACCTTAAAAATGAAGCCCGAATTTTATACCACATGTTTTTGTAGTCCCATATACACATTTCTGTGTGCAGTGCTTGTTACTTTACCAAGACTGGGCCAAATTTCTTATCGTTTTGATGACTCCAGAACCTTGCAGTACACATCAATACTTATATGCTACATGATCAACTTTTTCTGATCGATTCCACACCGTTTTTTTCTTCTCCAAAATGCAATCGCTACTTGCGCAGTTCCAGAGATACTTTGTTGCTGCAGATTACCTCTATCAAAACAAACATAACACTAGGTGATCAAGCATTTGCTTGTGCAGCCCCAAAAGTCTGGAATTACTTACCATTTGAAGTCAGGAAATCACCATATGTGAATATCTTTAAATAAAAACTGAAAGCACATCTTTTCAATTAGCTATAAATCTAAGCATATCAGGAGCTCTTGTAGCGCGGTAGAATATATACTTCATGTTGAATAGTCTCTGCGCTCTATGAATGTATTATTATTATCATTGTTATAATATTATAACCAGAACTCAACTTTATCTTTAAATCTGGTAAATGTCAATGATATAGTATTCAATCGCTACCCAACATTCCTAGAGAGAGAGAGAGAGATAATCCACCCGACTTTCTATAATATAGATATGATCAAAATTTGCATCCATTTTTGCATCCATAGATTTTTCCCGTGTTCGCCAATAATAACAAAAAAACACATCCTATATAATAGTGTATCGGTGTTGATGCATGTATTAACTGTGGCGTATCCTCCAAACTATTAATTATTATATGCCACATAATGTCGCTGTTTTCACGAAGTGACGGTAGTGGAAAAAAAATTGCATTCACTTTGCGTGACGATTTTTCTCACTACCGTCACTTCGTGAAAACAGGGACGATATAATCTTCCTTTGCCACATTGTATTTATCATGGGAAAGATAACACCAAAGGCTTCAAGTTTATTTCAATTGTTTCCCGGTGCAATATTAAAGGGAAAGTCCACCCCAAAAATAAGTTTGTTTCGATAGAGGCAGAATAATAAGAAAATCAGGTGAGTGAAAGATTGAGCAAATTCTGAATGAAAATAAGAAAGTTATGAATTATTGAAGTTGTGATCAATCAAATACAAATTGGCAACTCTGTGACTTATTATACGAGCTCTCCTTCATTTGCTTTGTGCATAATATTCCATAAAATCATGTTTTCTTCGTTATTGATGTCGGAATATATATTTGTTCCTTGCAGGGGGAGTATAGAAACATATTTGCAATTATTATATTTAGGGTGCATGTATGGTTGAAATTTTTCTTGAGGGAAAATGAAAATTTTAGATTTTTTTAGTACTGAGCAAATGGAAGTTGAGCTCGCATGATACGTCATAGAGTTGCCAATTTGTGTTTGATTGATCACAACTTCAAAAATCCTAACTTCCTTATTTTTAATCGGAATTTGCTCAAACTTTCACTGACTTGTTTCTCTCATTTTTCTACTCCTATTAAAACTAACCTAATTTCAGGGTGGACTTCCCCTTTAATCTATGCCGATGTTAAAATGGTTGTCATGTCAAATAGTGACGTCATTTGTTAAGGCCAATCAACAGGGACTTCTAAATTTGAGTGGACTGCTACGTGTGATGCCTTCTAAGGCACTGGCAGGCACACGTAGTAGTCCATGTTATCGTCGTGCAAATCTAAAAGTCCCTAATAGATGGCCCTTCCCCTCTGGCCCTCTGAGATGTTACACCAATGTCCTCATTTTGGGTCAAAGTTTCCGCTCCTTGTAAGAGCAAAGAGACTTCAATAATTATACAAAAATGAAAACCTCTCTCTTGAATTAGGCCATTTTCGTAATGTAACCAGATTCATGCATATGCCTTTGTGAAGTACCTGGATGCGACTTATTTCATTCACCAATACCGGTACCAATATTTATAAATGTATCTTAATATTCAGAATTCAAATTGCATACGTCAGTTGTTGCTAGGTAGGACAAACAGTATGGCTTTCTCCACCTAACAACAAGTAATATATGCAATTTACATTCTGACAATTGAACAAAAATTTATACAGGTGAATGAAATAATTGGTATCGAGGCATAATTGGTATCGAGTATAAATTTGGTTACATTACATTACGAAAAATGGCCTATTACGGGAAGTCCCCATTTTGAATGCTGAAGCTCAGCTTGCCATATTAGATGTACATGCTGCATTGAGATTTACACATTGATAACCATTCGTGTCAATAGTGTCAGTAGAAGGAACCGGTGTGTTTCCGTTCTTTTTTTCTAAACCGCTGAACAAAGAATTGTAAAAGATTTCTAACTGCGATCATATATTTCCCAGGCTCTGGCAAGGGTTCTGATGTAACTGATCGGACGTTCGAAGCTGTTTTCATAAGGAGGATAAAATAATTGACGTTTAAATCACGTTTCGTTTAAGCATATTTTCGATGTCCCTAGTGTACGAAAGCATGTGCCGAATTATAAGCATGCCCCATGGTTTCATTTCGTATAGCAAAATGTCATTTAAAATTGCTGTCCATACAATGTTGAATAGCTCGACGCGCTAAGGAGAACATAGCGTGAGATATCAAATCGTATGGACATCGAAATGAGATGATGTGTACTGCATATATATTATTAGGGCATCTCGGCGACATAATAAACACAGTGTCAAATATCATCGAATAGACATTGATCATATATATATATGAAATGTCATCATCATGAGTAGCTCTACGTGGGGAAAATCAGAAAACATATAATCTTGACTAAACATTGGGCTTATATAAATTGTTTCCATATGTATGCATCGAGTGTCTTCCCTTCATTAGTACATAAATGCTAAATTATTGAGCAATTTGGTTAACTACTTTATTTCGATGCTTGCGTCTTCCATATGTACAAAAAATGTATTACAAATATGCACACCTATATGATAACAGGTGTTTTTTTTGGTACTGATTGTGAAGAAAGAGCTAGATTTTAATTTCACATTGCAGCAAGACAAGTGTCTATATCTAACTTTATAATTCTTGTATCCATCAATGCGAAGACGGCATTAATCTAGGCCCTGCAAACGTATAGGAAAAAACTCTTTGGAATTCCATGACATACTGCCCTTGAGCAGTTATCTATACTCCGAGTCAGATCAGGTAGATTACAATTGAGTGAACTGATTGGTTAGATTTTCTTACCACAGTAATTCCCTTCACCAGATCTTTATCATATTCATCGATTAAATCTGTCGCTAATTTCCTGCCGTGCCTGTCATGCCTGCGCTGTAGAAAGGAACTTCCAGGGAGTTCTTTATTACCAATTCAAAGAAATTAAAGATGTAATGAAAATGGATGTTCTGTGGGACAAAATAATGCAGAAATACACATTGGACTATTTTATGCCATAAAGTCATTATTTTCCGTCATTTAAAAATACATCAACATATAATATTTACAATCATAAAGACACACTTTAAAAAAAAAAGAAGACGGAGGGATGGCCCTACTCAGCGTTGTTAGCATAACAATGCTGTTTTACAGAGGGGTCCCTATAGACATAGAAAACATGAAAATAGATAGTACAAAAGTAAGGAAAACTTACAGCAAAATAAGAACTTACGATAATGATAAGAGCAAATTCGAGTAAAACAAGAAACAGGAGAGAAATAGTTACAATATATACAAGAGAGAAAGCTAGACAAGTAAATTATTTTAAAATATAAAAAAATGAAAAATAAAAAAAAGATACAACTACAAGAAGTCTGGAATAGTATTGTTTAAATACTTGTTGAATGTGTGAACAGTTGGAAGTAATTTAGTGGTAGGAGGAAGAGTATTATATTGAATTGAGCTTCTATATTTGGTAGTTCTGCGATAATATAGTCATCATGACAGCTCAATGTGTTAACGGTAACGGGTTAAAAATCATTTCGAGATTACATCAAGGCGGTAGTTAGATCCTTAGGGCGACCTACTTTTGAAAAACAGATTTACAAGAATGTTTTTGATGATGCTTTCGTATTCTAAGGCACACTGCCAGTCTTTTTATAGTTTATTAATAGCAAGTAACCCATCTTGTAGTTAATTCATGTTCTATAAGAAGTTGTATAGATCCCTATAATTAAACTTGGTTGTATTGATAGAGTATCTTGGAAGTGGAAAAAGAAAGAGAGAAAGAGAGAAAGAGAGAGAGAGAGAGAGAGAGAAAAAAAAAGGAACAAAGAAAGTATGAAAGAATGAAAGAATGAATACATCAAATAAGTTCAATCCTTGAAAGCTAAAAGCAAGTGTAGAATGAACATGCGCTTTAATATAGATGTACATCGTCAATCGATACTTCCTTATATTCCACCATTTCGATTGCTATCGCTCTTGTCATTTCATGCTCTAGTTTGGACGCGTCCGGTCCCGGGTCTTATTTCAGAAATTTCGTAGAATTGCATCACAACAAGCGAAGGACTATCGGTTGTTTTTAAAATCTGATACGGATATTGTCACTGTCTTTGACTTTGAGTGCAATAAAGCATGTACCTACTACGAATGAATTAAAGTAAGGTGTTTGAGCCCCCATTGCAGCCCTAGTCTACCAGCGATTTTCGATAACGGTATGTTATAAGAGAGAAGCAAACAGGTTATAGGGGCCTATATATCTTTTAAAGTCTTTTGTAAGCATGTACAATGCATGATTATTACCATATTAGTGAAAGCACGCATCACATTTCGACATGCACATTTGTTTTCGTTTTCTTCCTATTGGCTTTTAATATCTTTCTACATATTTTATATGTCCATTTACCATGTAAACACTGCTGTCCACAAATTGTAAGGCTAGTAAAATTACGACGTTGGATGGTCGTGTAAACGTGCCCTTTGATACATTTCGGGGGTGGGGTGGTTCCACGTGAATACTGAAAGGGTGTATATGTACTTGCTGATGATGTAAACTTCATATGTGATGATAATGATGATGATGATAATTAACTCCTTGATGCCATATTTTAGATGCATGATCATGAGGATCAGCATTTACTTGATTTACAAAGAGGATTTGCCCATTCACGAAGTTAAATCGTTAAATCACAAAAGAAGTCCATCTGATTGATGATGTAACTTGAAAATTAGTTCTTTCTTAACAAACGAAGTAAAAATTCACCTGTTCACTTACGAGCTGCAAACTTCCTCAGAAATGAAAGCTTACCGAAACAGGTAATTCTTCTACCGATTGTGAAGTAAGAACTACACTGTCGCTCATAAAGGTGGAATATTTTGTTTATCCCAATTTATGGAATTATTTTAAAAATAATTTTAAAATAATAGATCTAGATAATAGTATACATTCTCAGATTTTATTGAATAATAATTTGCCAATGTGTGTTTTGTGTCACTGCTAAAGCATGTGTATGCTACTATGCTTATCAACTAGGGGACCTATGCCCTTAAGTCATAAATGACAGTATTGAGGATTAATGCCCCACAAAAGGGCACTAATATAGCACATCGACACGGTTTTGATCATGGGGCCTCACAGTTACGAGGCCATTGCTTTGTCACTGAACCACGACTGTACGCAGCGGGGGCTAGGGTAGAGGGCAGTTTCCATAAATAAAAATAAAAATAGAAATAAAAAATGCAATAAATTTTCAATAATTTATTGCATTTTACCCCGGTTCCCAACATAACATTTTTTCTGTGTGCCCATGCCTTGAGCCATAATGCATGGCCGTCCAGAGGATTTTTTTATGTTGGGGACCGGGGTAAATTGCAATAAATTATTGAAAATTTATTGCGTTTTCTGTTTTGTTTTTTTAATTTATAGAAACTGCCCCCTACCCTAGGCCCCCGCTGCGTACAGTCATGGTTCAGTGACAAAACAATGGCCTCGTAACTGTGAAGCCCCAGGATCAAAACCGTGTCGATGTGCTATATAAGTGCCCTTTTGTGGGGCATTAATCCTCATTACTGTCATTTATGACTTGAGGGCGTAGCTCCCCTACTTAGTAAGCATAGTAGCATACACATGCTTGTCACGCAAAACACATAATTATTGGCAAATTATTTGTCAATAAAATCTGAAAATGTATACTATTATCTAGATCTATTATTTTTAAATAATTTTGAAAATAATTCCATAAATTGGGGTAAAACTAAAATATTCCACCTTTATGAGCGACAGTGTAGTTTTCTATTTCAGGCGTTTATCTTCAGTTCTACTATTTGAGATTACTTTAATTCTGACGGGCGTATTACCGACATTATCCGATAAGTAAAAACATTGATGCTAAATAGTTGGAGTCTTTTCTTTTGAGAGACTGTTCCCTTGCTCTTCTCTGTTTCCAATAGGATTTCCTCTGATCATTGTCTAAAGAAAAACATTCTAAACAAACGAGTGCAAAATTGAAAATAATGATTTTCAATAAATCTTGATTTTCTTCTATGTCTTATCTATCATACATCAAAATCGTTAGCCTCATGGCATGTACTGAGTAGAACCTGGGGGTATTTCATCAAACCTTAACATTGACCTATTGAAATCGAAATCAATTTTGGTTGATGTAACACCCCCCTGGGGAGAAATCATGAACATGTTTTCCAAGAGAGATCAATTCGAGATTAGAGCTTTTAGCCAGATGATGTGAAGTATTGTCATTGAGAAAAGAAATCGATCTTCTGCGGTGAAAAAATATAGGCCCTAGGGCCTGGGTTATACATGTACATTCATGAATTTTCAACAGTAGGCTACTGAGAAATTGATAAATGACAGGATGGGGGCGGTCGGACACTGACCCCCGTAGTTGACCCACTGCAAGTTGTATGTAGGGGTTAGGGGTGACATAAATTACGTGGGCTTCTTCTTTTTCTTGATACGCCGCTGTGATTGGAAGACAGGAACAGTTTGTTGTAATCAAGATGGTCAAAGACATAGGCCCTGGGGCTTGTAGCATGATTTCAGAAATGAAGAAACAGGCAGAATTTTACCTTGGTCAACCCCGAGTGGAGTAGACCCTCTACAAGTTTTATACATGTACTTTCTATCTATCTATCGTATCTTCTCCCGGTTCGGAGGTTGATTGCAACATCTCTCCATTTCACTCTATCTTCTGCCATTCTGGTGCACTCTTGCAGTTTTAGTCCACTCCAGTTCTTGACATTCTCTTCCCAGTTGATTCTGGGTCTCCCTCTAGGCTTTACTTCCTTCCACTCTTCCTTCCAATGCATCCTTTAAGAGGCTTCGGTGCCTTTTAACATGACCAAAGTATTTGATTTTTCTCTCCTTAACTATTCCTACTATTGCAATTTGTTTACGCCCTGCCATGTGCAATATCTCTTTGTCGGTTTTCATTCGTTTCCAGGATATTTTCATCATTCTTCTGTAGATCCACATTTCAAAAGATGTTATTTTATTTTCCCTGGCCTTGTTTATTGTCCATGTTTCTGCTCCATACAATAGGACAGACCATACATAACAGTTTACTAGTCTCAACCTAAGCGCAAATTTCACCTTTCTATTTGTGAACAATCCTTTCATTGCCAGAAATGTTTTCCGAGCAATTTATATTCTTCTTTTTTATTTCTGCTTGGCATCTGGCATCATCTTTGATACTTTGTCCTATGTAGATGTAATTACTGACTTGCTCAATGATATGTCCATCGAGTTTCAAACATATTCTAGGCTTATTCTCTGTTCTACTAAAAATCGTTGACTTAGTTTTCTTGACATTCATGCTTAGACCAAACTCTTCACTTTTGAATCTGCTTCATTCTCTGCGCAAAGTACAGTGTCATCAGCATAACGTAAATTATTAATATTTACACCCCCAATACTAACACCTTTCATATCTGAAATTTCCCTGAATACCAACTCTGTGCACAAGTTGAACAGAGATGGGGACATTACGCACCCCTGACGTACTCCTCTTTTGATTTTTGTGTAACCTGTAGTTTCATTGTTAATTTTGATGGCAGCTGTCTGCTCCCAGAAAAGTTTAGATATGAAACGTATGTACTTTTGTAGGATTTAAAACTGGGGAGTGGGAGAGGGTGCGAAACTGGCTACACATGGGACGTATCCTGGTTGTTTGTACACCCGGGGAAACTGCAATCGGAGCACACGATTCAGGATGGAATATTGTGTTGTGTACGTAAGATATCTCAAGTGGGTTTCAAGGGGAGGGGGCACAGACCGGCTGTGCCCTCCTGAAATCCGCCACCTGGATAAGCTACCGTGATCAGAATACAAGAACAAATTCTGGTAGAAATATTCTGAAAGAGAGAGAGAGAGAGAGATTGAGAGAGAGGGAGAGAGAGAGAGGGGGAGAGAGGGAGAGAGAGAGGGAGAAAGAAAGAGAGAGAGATAGAGAGAGACAGAGAGACAGACAGAGGGGAGGTCGATTTAAGACTATATAAAACATTAAACCCGACCATGTGATGTATAGATTTCAAGCGGGAACCAATCAATGAGGAAAAGTTGAAGGACATGAAACCAACCTGTCGAAATCGTGAATGATCACGGTATGTAGCTCCCTGTGGGTGAAGTTCGTCTCGTCCCCAAACACCACATCAAGACGTGAGATTGAATTGATTAGGTCGTCCTGCCAGCAGTGACATTTTCTTGTTCGGTCACTGGATCTTTAGAGGGTCCAACTCCAAAACGAGTGACGCAAAGAAATCTGATCCTGTACCCTTGATTAATTTTTTTTGCTAAGCAATTTCGCGTTTGCCAGACTCTTGACATCCTTTTGGATAGGTAGAAAAGTAGAAGACGTCAAAGAGGTGTTTCTATACAAATATTAAATATTACAACGTTATTGCCCATTCAAGGGCGTTTCCAGCCATCCTACTTTGCATAGAAAAGAGAGAGAAAGAGAGAAAGAGAGAGGGGGGAGTCAGACCGAATGTTACAAGTAAGCCAAAAGGTCATTAAGGCAGGGCAAAATAGGGAAACGAAAGGCTTCTTTGATTTTCACATTTTCGGATAGAGGTATGCCCGAAACAAACTTGAAAGGTTCGTATTTTAAAATTGTCCAACAATCAAGAAAAAGGGCATAAGGGTGGGGTCCTTAAGCTTCTAAAATTTGTTGAAAATGATGAAAAACATCACACAAAAATCTGACATCTCTACATTTACCGACGGGGCTACAATTACAGATTTGTGGACAGCTTTATCGAACAGAAAATGTCGCTCCACGCCTCTTACTCGCCTTTGCTCTCGTCCCTTGTCCATCTTTGATTAATGAGAACTACACCACATGGGTAAACATTTATACTACGTCTTGTAATCTCATAACTTTTTGCCTTAAAGACATTGTTTAACAATGACAGTTTTATAAATCTGAGATGCATGGCCCTACGTGGTATCAGTGTCTGTGATATGGTGTAATATTGAAGCCCTATGGTAAACAAATTGCACTTCAAAATTACCATGAAGTCCTCAAAAAAATTAAAATCTTTGAGTGACCGGCTTGACCATCCTCATTTATCCCAATAGACTGTAGTGTTATAAAATCGGTTGTGAAAGCGGTTTTTGAAATTTCGAATTCCTATCATAAATATCTTGATAATCAGATAGGCTTGTAAAAGTCATGGGATTCCTGACTGACCTAAAAATTATCATTGCAGCATGAGCTAAATCTGAATCTGAATCTGAGACCCTATCCCTTTAATTATGAGCATTTTACCATTTCCGATGAGATGATTGTTTTCCAGTCGTCGCGAGACATTTCAATTCATCATGATTATTTTCAGCGCGATAAAACATGCACCCACGATACTAATTACTCCGTTGAATCATGGGCTAGTAACTCCATGGTTGAAGTGCCAGATTGAAAAAGTGTAAATATCAATCGATATCACTTTCATAGTGGTAGGCATACAGCTTAATTATAGCACTCTCCAAATTTGCTAGACACTTTCAATGGGATGCGAAAAGTTTAGATGATTTGCTATGCCTACCTAATGAAAAATTCCTCAAAATGTGTGATTATTATAACATTTAGAAAACCGGCGCTCTTTTTAATTCTTTCTTTGTCCTTCTTTGTAAGTTACTGCCTTCTTCTCTCATCCGTTCCATTAGTAACAACAGAGATCTGCAAGCAAATCAAGCTTCTTGCTTTACGCTGCAGCACTCCGACATATTATTCATGCTTTATTAAGCATGTTCAATTATTTTTTTATATATATTTCTATTTAATATGTGCTGTACTAGAGAATTATATCAAGTTGACATTTGTATGTTTTGTAAATGTATGTTTAAAAAGATGATATGGAATCCAATAAATTCAAGTTCAAATTCACATCCAAAGGGTAAAATAAAGATCCGCATAAGTTAATGAATCAAATATTCCTAAATGTGTAGTTACAGCCAAGGCAACGGCAGGGAGTAAGATATTGTTATCGGGGTGCTGCAGGGGTTTCTCGAAAAAAGCTTTTGCTGCATCGTAATAACGGGGTATCTCACTAAGCGGTGAATGCTTGCGAACGTTACGAATGTGGATTCACCAAATCACTGACGAATGTTGGTGAAAATTAGGGTTCGCCTTTTTTAATGTTCACAATTTCTTTGCGACAAGAAAAACTGTTTGCGACAATGAAAACTGTTCGCAAGAAAGCTTTCTTGCAACCTTTTACGAACCCTGGCGAAACCCAAATTCGCTAAGACATGTTTGGTTTTAAATGAGTGTCTCAACAAAATACATATTAAAATACAGCATCGCGTCGCACTGCGAAGCAAAAACAAATCGTGTCATGTTGCACCGCCGTGATCATTTTCGGAGCTTCCTCGGGAAGATATTCATACTTTGAAACGAACATCTGCGTGTATCAGGTTCGTGGCACATTAACATTCCACTCATATCATGCTCCAGACGGGTGCATGGTTATCATTAATTTGCCATCAACGAGAGGGCGTCCCTTCAAGCTGTTTCCTATGAAAAACAATTTTTTTTAAAGTCACTGATCTATACGAAAAAAGGATAGATATCAGGGTTTTCTACATTTTGAGATAAAGGATATGTTATTGCTGTCACCCAATGTTAAATAATTGTAATTGTTATGGATTGGGGCTGTAATTCCAACGATATCACAACCAATTAATAACTCAGGGGGGGGGGGACTTTTTCTCTCTCCCTCTCTTTCTCTCTCTCTCTCTCTCACTCTCTCGCTCTCTACCTCTCTCTCTCTCTCTATCTCTCTCTCTCTCTCCCTCTTTACTCACCCTATCTCTCTCTACCTCTTTTCCCCCCTCTCTCTCTCTCTCTCTCTCCCTCTGTCTGTCTGTCTCTCTCTCCATCTCTCTCTCTCTCTCTCTCTCTCTCTCTCTCTTTGCAGCAACGGTTTACTCGCGGCATGATCGTGTT